CTTGCTCCCAGTCTGTGCCCTGAGGCTAGCAGAGCAAGGCTGATCCCTCTCACCTGATAGCCTTTCTGGCATCTTCTCTTCATAAGGATAATCCCACCCTCAGTTCCTCCATCTTCAAGTGGCATTATTTTGAGGCCATTCTGGTCACCCTCTCTGGATGCTCTCCAATTTGTCAATGACATTCCTAAAATGAGGTGCCCAATACTGCTTTGAAAGAGAGATTTAGGAAGTCAGCAACTTCTTAAGGAGATGGCATCTGTGAACACTGTTTAGATTTCTGGTCTTCAGTTTAAGGGTAGCAATGATAGGTTCTTGAACAGGAATGGAGTATATCTAATGAGGCCTTGTGAAAGCAAATTTGCCTGGAGATGTGTGGATCTGATCAAAAGGAAATTAGACCAAAAACAGAGGAGGAAGAAACTGTCTTTATATGGCCAGTCACCAAGCCGGATAACACAGAGAGTGGCATATATAACAAAACGAGAAGACTGTCACTGGAGATACTAGTAATTCTCTGGTAGCAATATCCAGGAAGGAGGACAGAAAGAAAGATGAAAAAAAAATCGTGGCTTTGTATGTGAGTATACACAGGAGCAAAATTATGGGTAATGAAAAAGATAAGCCAGCAGCCTTAATGAATGGAGGGAAATTTGAGTTCATCCCTGAGAACTGGGTAGATGTGACTTAAGACAGCCATATGATTTTAGAAACAGAAAATGTATTCAGAAGGAAGAGATGAGATGAAAGGAGTGGATGGGTAGAGTTACATTATACAGCATATGAAGAACAAAGAGATCTCTGTCCCAGATGGGGAGAGCGTGAATGAGGAGCTCCTAAGTAAAGGCCAGTGGAGGAAGAAGGAAGAAGGAACAGAAGGAATGGGATGGTGGGAGGAGAGTACAGACTGCCCAACCAGAACAAGGACATGGATGATGAGTGTGAGGAGCTGGGCACAGACCTGGCCCAAAGGCAGAATACTCAAGTGACAGAATGGACCCGTTCCCTACGCTGCTGGAGTCTTCTCTCTTGGACCTGGAGAGCGGAAGGTGGATTCTTGAATTAACCTTAATGATAACTTCATGCTTAGAAAACCACTATGTTGGAACTGATTCTGACCAGTAAGAAAGAATTGGTTGCCAAAACAGAAATGAAGGGGACCTCAAAAGGAAGCGGCTACTCCACCTTATAATGTGTCATGGATGAAGAGGAGAATAAAAGTCTGATGGCACCAAGACGGGGAGACTGGCAGGAAAAGGAGCGCACATCACAGAGCAACTTCAGGTTTGAGAAGACCTGAGTAGAAGACAGAAGCAAGACCCAGTCGGCAAACAGCAGCACGAGCCTAGAACAGCAACGTCACAAGAGCTAAGGTTCGGCATGGGCTGAAGCGAGCACCAATTGCTGAAGAAAGCAAGGAGCTGGCACTGAATGCAGAAGATAATAAGAGGCCGACAGTGAATGCAGAATGCAGGCTTTTTTAAAAGTATATTGAGCTGGGATAGGTAGGATGATGATAAGAGATGATGGGGAGGGGAGTGGGAATTAATGCCCAAATTTTATTTTACTTCTATCTTCTCTACCAAGAACTATCTCTAGACTGGCAAGAATAAACCAGAAATGATCAACAGGAAATTGAAACCAAAAATAAGTGAGGAGCTGACAATCGGGCACCTCCCTCCCCTTCATGAATTCAGTTGTCAGGCCCGGACAAAGGAACTAGCAGATAGGCTTGCAGAGTCACTTTTGGTATTCATTGGGAAATCATGGTGAAAGGGGGAGGTGCCATATGGCTAGAGATGGATAGATATGGTCTTGATTTTCAAAAAAGAAAGAAGGTAGAGTCATCAGAGTATAAACAAGTGATCTGGTCTCCAGTTCCTGGCAGAATTCTAGAATGTGCCATTAAAGGAATGATTTGTGAGTGTTTCAGCAAAGGAATCTGTGGTCAGTAAGGACCACCTAGGTCCATCAAGACTAGGTCATGCTAGATAATCTCATTGCCTTTTTATCATGTTTCATGGACTGGTAGAAGAAGAGAATTTCACATAAGATTTCATCTTACTGGCAAGGTCTCACGATATCCTTGTGGATAAGACAGAGAAATGCAAGGTAAATGGTTGTAGACATAGGCAGGCTCAGAAGCGGTAGACTGACTGGCCCCAAAGAGTAATAATTAATGGATCATGCCATCTTGGGTTGAGTTTTCTACAGTGGAGAGCCGCGGGCACGCCAGTAGCCTTGGCCTTACACCATTCAGCTTCCTTAGCAATGTCTTAAGTACAGATGCAGATGGCTGGGCTATTATTTCCTTTGTCTTCTCACCAGCACCTATGCTGAAGGCCCTATCACTTGGTGCTTGTATGTATGACTAAGATGCCTCCAGAAGCTGTTAAGGTTCCCTGCAGCCAGAGATGTCGACATGGAGGCTGGATGACAGCTGACTGGGCATGCTCCTGCTGTTTCAATTACTACCAATGCTGAGATCATGGCTTATTGAGGACCTGCTCTGCCTAAGCCCTTTTTGTGCTCTGCAGAAGCCTTAAGAAATAGGAGTTTACACTTTAAGTGGAAAGAAGATAATTAACAACAGCAAACGGGCGACGTATGAGAAGTGCCCAGAGCTGAGCATCATCGACATCTGGGAGACTGTCCTGGCCACGTGTGACCAGAAGAGGAGGTGGGCTCGTCATGGAAGAAGGGCCAAGGGGAGCAGAAGAGTGGGCCTTCCACATACTAGGCAGACCTCCCAAGAAGAACTTATGAGAGTACAGAGAAGGAGTCACAGGCGGAAGATGCCTGCAGGAGCCATCATCTGGAGAACCGGACAGTGTCCTCATCCAGGAAAGCGCAGACCGCACAGGTGGAGGGGTTTCCTTGAGAGAAAGAACAAGAATGAAGGGACCAGGCTTCTCATGGGGGAGAGGGTTTTTGAGCAGCGCCTTTGAGATGAGTAGGTGTCTTATGACAGGATTTAGGGAAAGGTTATTTCAGGTGAGAAGTACATGAACAAAGGTGTAGAGATAGACATTCACATGGCATGTTTAAGGCACACAGTAACTATGGACTAGGCTGTTTCTTTTTCTTTTTTTTTTTTTGGCTAGGCAATGGGATTAAGTGACTTGCCCAGGGTCACACAGCTAGTAAGTGTTATGGATTTGAACTGGATTTGAACTCAGGTCCCCCTGAATCCAGGGCCCATGCTCTATCCACTGAGCCACCTAGCCGCCCCTGACTAGACCGTTTCAAGCATAGGTGTCCCACAGGGGACTAATGGGAGACAAAGTTGGCAAAGTTGATTAAGATCAGATTGTTAGGAGCCTTGAATGCCAGAGTGAGAACATTTGAACTTTATCTTGCAGGGAATAGGAAGTTCATTGAATCCAGAGATCACTGATGAAAGCTTGCCTTCTTTTAAGCAAGATTAATCTGATTGCAGTGTTGGGCTAGTGGTGAGAAAGGCAGGAGGCCGAGGGACCAGTTAGGTGGCTCCTGCAGTCACACATACAGACATTAAGTGCTAACGCCCTAAGCTAAGGTGTTGGTGAGAAGGAAAAAGAAAACAGGATGCAAAAAAGCCCCTCAAAAAAACCTACTAAATCAACCGGGCTTGATGACTGATCAGATATGTGGCAGCAGACAAAAATACAGTCCCAGGGAAGAGACAATGAGAGCAGCTGTGTGTGCAGCAATGATCCAGCGCCTCCCACACTGCCTGGGTAAGCAAACAAAACAGCCTTTTCATATAAATGTCAAAAAACTTCCCTCCCCCCACTTCAGCCTTCCCACAAGAAAGTGATTTATAAACTGCAGAACGCTGCCTCAATGTGAAGTCCCGATTAGCCCCATCTCTGCCCCCAGCAAGTGCACAGACATTACCACAAATCAGCGTGTTTTCATAGTTTTGCCTGGCGTAAACTGTTGTTCTCCAAGGGCAGATAGGAGAGCGACTCCCAAGTCTGGAGAGAGAGAGACAGAGAGAGAGAGAGAATGTGTGTGTGTGTGTGTGTGTGTGTGTGTGTGTGTGTGTGTGTGTGTGTGTGTGTGTGTGTGTGTGTTTCAGTGTAATCTAATCAATTTAATTCAACAGCTGTTTATTCAGTGGCTACTACATGTCCAGCCATGTGCGGAGCGAGACACAAGAAAGGAGAAGGCAGCAGCAAACATAGCAGAAAGCACACTGAACTTGGAGTCAGGAAGACCTGGGTTCAAATCCTTCCCTTAGACCCTCACTAGCTGTGCAACTGTGGGCAAATCCTTTCCCTGCTCTGGACCTCAGTTTCCCTGTTTATAAAATGAAGAGGCTGAACTCTGGGGTCTCTAGGTTGCCTTTCATCTCTAAAATGTGTGATCCCGTGATCCTTTGCCCAAGGAGCTTCTTCATCTAGTGGTGGAGATGATGAAACGCATAGTAAAGAAACATGGTAGCATCTGTGCTGTGACAGGTGAGAAGTGGGAAAGACATGGCAGCCTCCGAGCTTTCCATGGCAGCCTGGCCCAGCCGCGGGAGAAGGTGACTTGAAATTCAAATTCCTCCCCATGCAACCTTGGAAAAGGTGCATGCACCTCTCTGCGCCTCTCTGAAATGAGGAGTGGTCCTGGGTGATCTCTGAGGCTCCACCCATTATCCACAAGGCTTCACAGCGCAGGCAAGGCTCTAGCTGGGTCTCGAAGGACTGGCCATGAAGAGCAGTGATGGTGTATCAGGAGGACTGAGCGACCAAAGGTCCAGGGGCACAAATGAGCACAACCCAACTCTGGGGGAAGCTCCAGCATGTGGTGGGAGGTGCTTTTGGACAGACCCTGGGCAAATAGATGGAGACTGAATGAACACGATTCAGCAGGAAGCCAGGAAGCACAGCTGCTTGGTGTGTGAATGCAGTGACAAAGGGAAGTGTTGTAGGAGACCCAGCATGCAAGGGACAGACACGTGAAGGAGGAACAGAGGCAGATATGGGAGGCCTGAGCAGGTGGGGGGGGGTGGCATATTAGGAAGGAAGAAGAGAGAATCTTTTTTCCTTTTTTCTTCCTTTTTGAAAAATTTTTTATTACAAGTAGTAACTTCCAGTGAAGGAAGGAGAAAGGGATACAAGGGGAAACCTAAGCCATAGGGAAACAAAAAATAGCGATAAAATTATATTTAAATGAAATGGGGGAAAAAATCAGCCCGATATTTTAAAGGAAAAATTGACAGAACTTAGTGACAGATTGAACATAGATGGTAAAGGAGAGGAAAGACGTCAAAGCTGATGTCTGGAAGAAGAGTGGGAGCATTGAGGGAAAGGGAGACTGGGGAAGGGGGAGCTTGGTGAGTGTGGGGGAAAGATGATGAGCTTGGCTTGGGATGTGCCGGCTCTGTGATGGGACTGTGCTTGGGAGGCCTTCTGCCAGCTCTCTCTCCACCTGCCCAACACACCCTGGCTTGTAGGACCAGGTAAGACGTGTGATGGGTGCTCAGTAAAAGCTGCTGGTGCCTTCATAGTTCTCCTGCTTGAGAAAATCAAATAGCATGTTTTCACTTACACCAGGGGTGTGCACTTTTACATGTAGTCTGCAGTCTTGACGTTTTGCCCTTCTCTTTACGTCTAAGCATCAGCAAAACAAAACAAACCCTGACTTGTGACGTTTGCTGATTTCCAAGGAGTAAATGCTCCCACCGAATGTTCAACCGTCGGCTCTCTAGAGCCTGTTCGAGCTGGTTCCCACCCATGCCTGATTTACAGGGCTCCCTTCTGTCTTTATTTCAGCCCGAGCAGTTCATCGATTGTTAGAACATCGCCATCACGGCAACCCCTGGCCTTCCCCCGTGTACCCCATCACACAGCTCACCAACACCATCATCCGCCGAGTGAATGAGGCCTCGGGTTTGTACCAGATGTTCAGCGTGCTGGCCGACGTCGTCCTTCTGAAGAAGTAAGTTCTCAGTGCCCAGCCCTCTCCAAACCCGCAGTAGCCCACATCCCTTTCTCTCTCCTTCACTCTGTAACAGCAGCGTTGAGGAAGGTAGAGTACTTTCCGTGGCACAGCCCAATCCCTGGTCCTGTCGGGGTGCAGCCCAGAGAGGGCTGGCTTCCTGCCCAGTCTGGCACTATCCATTGAGCCTCAGAGGGAACAGTACCGGAGACCTCTCCACTAGGCATCCAGACACTTCATCTTTAAGGCCTTCCTGCCCCGTCCCATTCTGCACCACTATGCCCTCACTCCCCGGGTTCCCTCTTTTGTAGATGAGTCCGTTTTAACTCAGCTCTTAATTCTGTCACATGGCTTGTGCATAAAGGCAATAAGGTTGTAGCCTTCTGGTCACCAGTGTCTACCCCCCAGTTTTCCATAGATTTAACAGCACTGGTTATGCAATTTCATATTTTGGTGGTAGTTTTTTCAGACTCTCTCCCCCGTATAACTTGGGGTCTGGCTTCAGTCATGACACAAAACATAAGGTTTAGGCCCTCTGGACACCCCACTGCCCTGGCAGAGACAGGTCTCCCCCCTTGCCATTTCCCTAGAAAGGCCACAGGCTTCGAGTACCTGGAGGAATACCCCATCAAGATGCTGGCCGAGCTGGAGACCCTCACGGGGCGGGAAGCTCAGCACGGCCTCTTTGTTGTCACGATGGAATACGGCAAGAACTTCTCTGGACCAGACAAGGATGTCTTCTATTACGACCGGGCTGTGGGGGATGTGGAAGATGCCTGGCAGTCCAACTTCCTTCATCCGGTCATCTACTACTACCACTGCCTCCCGACGGGTGAGTCGGGCCCTTCCCTGTTCCCATCCCAGGCGGCAGGGGCTCCCAAGGGGAAGCCAGGATACCCAGACCCTTTACAGAGCCATTGCCATCCAGACACCCAGAGAGACAGGGCCTCTAGGGGACTAGACCGGGGCACCAACAGAATATTATTTCTTAGTAATTGCTAAAAGAAGGGGGCAGCTAGATGGTGCAGTGGATAAAATTCTGACCTTGGAGTCAGGAGGACCTGAGTTCAAATCCAGTCTCAGACACTTGACACTTACTAGCTGTGTGACCTTGGGCAAGTCACTTAACCCCGATTGCTTCACCAAAAAGCAAAAAAAAAAAATTTTTTTTAAATTGCTAAAAGAAGAGGAGGCCCGCATGGGCACGCTGCCATATGCACGAGCTGCCCCACGCTGGACACAGACGAGCAGAGGTAGGCAGAACACCCTTTGTGTGCGTTATTTCGTTGGATTCCCCTCCCCACACAGCCCTATGGAGTAGGTGCTATTAGTGCCATGGTACTGTTGTCATCCTCGTTTTACAGATGAGCTAACTGAGATCTAGAGGAGGTGATGTGACTTGCCCAGAGTCACACAGTTAGGAAACATCTGAGTATCAGGTCTTCCTGACTCCAAACCCACCCCTCTGCACACCCCACGGGGCTGCCTCAGTGGTTGAGTGTTAGACCAGGGGATCCCCAAGATCTCCACAACTCCGAGGTTCTGGGATTGCAGAAGCAGACACTGGCCATGATGGTGTGAGACCCAGCCGCATCTCCGGTCACCTGTGTCCTGTGTCCGTCAGGAGAGCACTGAACCGGTGATACTGGCCTATTGACACAGCTGGCCAGCTGCCGAAATTGCAGCAGGCAGGAATCGAGGGGTCCTGGTCAGGCTGTGCTGCCCGGGAGAGGAGGCCCGCCAGCCCTCAGCTCCCCTCCCAGGCTGCAGTGGGCAGCTCCTGGTCTCCACCTGTAACAGGCTCTGTTTCTGCCCCCAGAGAAGGAGATGGTGTCTCGGGCCCCAGGCTGGCCCCTGCCTCGGCCAGTCGCCATCCACCACATCGTGGAGGATTTCCTTACAGACTGGACTGCGCCCGTGGCCCACATCCTCCCTCTGAGGCGTTTCTTGGAAAACTGTCTGAATAGTGACCTTCGAAGCTTCTATGCAGGTAACGGTGGGGCACACGCGGGGCCTCCACGGCAGCTCGGGTCTGTTCAGAGACGTCTCTGCTGCTGACTCCTCCTCCCCTGCTTCCTCAGCTTCCTTCCTGCCTGCCTGTTCCAGCGCCTTTCCACACCACAGGGCCTCAGGATTGCCCATCACGGTCTGTGGTAGCTGCCACCTGAGCTCAGACTGGGAGGTGGCCCCCCCACCCACTGCTCCAAGCCCAGCTTGGGAAAGCCAAAGGGTCCCGTCCTACTTACCAAGCTCTTCCATCGTGTGCGGTGCTATGCAAAACAGACAGTGCAGGCCCCAGGTTTTAGGAGCTGAGCTGTTTTTTATACTGAATTGCTCATGGGATTTCCCCCCCTCCCGCCCCCAGAATGCTGTAGTTAGCCTTTATATTCTTTTATCCCAAGTGGCTGAGAGGCCTGGGATCTAATCAGGCCATTAATAGGGTGACCCTAAATTTCACCTTCCTACGGAGGAAAATATCAATACTTACATATGCAATCAAGAAGACTGGCTTTCCTTGCCTGTGCTAAGGCAGGCAGTTCCTAAGCCGTTCACCCATGGAAATCCTTTCTCGCTGTTATTTTTGGACAGAGTCCTGTTTCCTGTTCGCTCTAACACGCCAGAAGCTGCCCCCCTTCTGCCAGCATGGGTACATGAACATGCAAGGGCTCATGGCGAATGAGAAACTGAGGCGCCACGGGATCGAAAGTGGTCTCATGGAGGACTACGGTGCCATCGAGGAACAGCCGCTTGACCAGAAGCTGGGGGGACCCTGGGATTCCAGTTCACCCATCCCAGCATGCCACCAGCATGAAGGAAGAGCTCTGACCTATAAGAGACCCAGGCAGGGACCTTTACCCAAGTCCTTCCGAGCCTGGGGGACCCAGCCCCTTGCACAGGCTTCCAGCTGCCAAAGATGCGCTCAGACCATTGTGAGCGATAGGACCAAAGTGGTGTGGAGGAGGAGGAAAGGCTGTACGCGGTGGTACGATGCCCCCTCTGTCTGGATGCAGGACCTGGCACATCCCTGTGTGGGGCAGCGTGCCCGCGCACTGGGTCCTCCTCAGGCTTGGCACCATCGTCCCACCTCGTGCCTGTCTCCAGTCCAACGCTCTCTGAGCCACCATTTTACCTAATCACAACACCTTTGATTCAGCTGTTCTCTCCTTCTCCAGGAGGTGGGGTTCTCTTCAGAGGCATGCTCTGAGGATCCACTTTGCGGGAGACATGCCGTCTTCCCAGGAGCACCCTCCCCACCGTGTCCCCCCCAGATTAGGCATGAGGCCTCAGAGCTCAAGGAGGGTCGTCTTCCAGGGGACCAGCGTCTCCACCCCTGGCCCTGCATCCAGTCCAATGTTTGTCACAATTTGTGCCCAGTATGAAATGCCTTTCCAGTAGCCCCTGCCTGAACCTCACTGAAGCACTTCTCATTTTCCTCCCATGATCCTAGCTCTGCCCTCTTGGCACCGTGCACAGTGCCTCCCCAGCCCACCCACCCATATAAGGATAGACTGATCGTGTTGTCTCCTCTAGCAAAATGTTATATAATTAGCTCCTTAGTCCCGTCTCCGTAATTTTTTGCGCAGCCTAGCACAGCTTTGCCTCGTCAGTCCAGAATGTCTTCTGACAGGGAGGTGGAAAACTTGGCTTCTTTTTTTTCGCTGAAGTCGAGAGGTTTCTCTTCTCTCTCCATCTTCCGTTCTGCTCCCGTTGTTTTCGCCACACTTCCTCAACAAGTCTGTGCATGGGTCCCCTCCCCTTCTGCTCCAGGCACCGGAGATCGCATTTCCGTATTGCTTTACAATTCACAGAGGCTGGGAGTATGGGAATCAACATCCCCGTTTCACAGATAGGGAACCTGAAGCCCAAAGGGTCAAGTGACTTGCCCAGATTCACGCAGGGATTTGGTCCCAGAACCAGGATTTGCACCCAGGTCTTTTGACTTAAAATCCTCTGGTTCCTCTTTTGTACCAAGCCACTTAAACCCTCACATAAATAAAGGGAAAAACCCTTTTCTATTTTGTCTGGATCAGAAGTGAACCAATTAGGAAGCATTTGTGAATTAGGGAGTACTCCAAGTCGAGCATGGAGGTGACTTTCTAGAGGTTGGCTGGTGAGGAGAGAGCAGTTCTCTTGGCCATGGCTACATGTGAACAAAGTAATTTTTTTCCTCCCTCGAGATTAGACAGACGCACTCGATTTCCTCCTCGGTTCTTCATTGTACACCACCAGCACAGGGCAGCTCTTTCCTTAGGTCCAAATGCTAAGATGGGCCCTCCTCAAGTTCCATGTCCTGGGGCTCCCACCCATGCTCTCTGCCCTGTTGTCCAGACCCATGATTCTTTAACACCCTGCAGGCAGAGGCCCATCTGCATTGAGTTGGACACAGCAAAAGCTCCCGTCAGTCAAGGAGGCGTCACCAGAGCAAAAATTAGAAATGATCCTAAGACCACAGATGGGTTAAGTTGTGCCCATCTGCTTTTTGGGCTACTCACTAACAGGGTAGGCTCCTTATTACCAGAGAACAGAAAATTGATGCCGTCCCATGAGAATCTATGTTAAAGCAAGATGTGTGTTTGCTGACCACATGGCTTCTTCTGGTTCCTCTGTAAATATATAAGGCCGAGCTCGATCCTCAATCCCACTATACCCATAGCTCCTACCCGGTTGAGCGGGAATATAAACTTTCAGAAAAGGCGGTTTGAAATCAGCTTTGTTGATAAGAGTCCAAACTGCTGTCATCACCACTGATTTACTGTTGTCTAAGTACGACATCTGCTGTTTTTCTTCATCTGCTAATTCAATCAGCATTCCCACCAGATTGATTCACTGTTAATAAAACCATGATTCCATTGTCTGCGGAGATTAGCTGTCTTTTTTTTTTTAACATTCTGCATTATTACTAATTTTAAAATTTCACACATACAACTGCCTTCATCACCACCACATTTACTTTGTCTGCTCTTGATTTTTATCATCCTTGCCTGCCTGTTTCTCCCTAATTTTTCAAAAATAAATGCAATTAACTTGAAGATTGTGCCATTATGTATGGCCAGTGTCTCTATGACCCTCAGCCATCTACGTCCTTGTTTTTTTTTGTTACAAATTTTCATCATTCAATTTAAGGGCTAAGATAATTCTTTGCTTTTGTTTTTGTTTTTTGCTAGGCAATGGGGTTAAGTGACTTGCCCAGGGTCACACAGCTAGTGAGTGTTAAGTGCAAGTTCTCTGTTTTCAGCTGGACCAAGCTCCACTATCTCCCTGGATTTTTTTGAAGTCAGCCAGCGATGAGAATCAAATTATACTGAGTAGACCCTGGTGTCTTTCCTAGGGAGCTCATAAAAAGTGATTGGGTCCATCTGGGGAGAAATGTGATTAGGTCTGTGAGGAGGAAGCAAGCTTAGAGCAGAGTGTGTGTGTGGAGGTGGAGGGTGAGCATCACATAGTAAAACACTGAGCCCACACTCATGCCATAAGGTTATGAGGCACAATGTGAACAGAGGAAAAAACTGGCATGCCGGCGCCTGCCCTAGTCATCCATATATATATCCTAAAAGCACAGTCCTTTTTAAAAATATTTTTGAATTGCACATAAAAACAATTTTCCACAATCATTATTCCAAATTCTCTGCCTCCTTCCCTCCTCCCCTCCCTCACTGAGAAGGCAAGCAATGTGATATTGGTTATACATGTTTGGTCATGCCAAAACATATTTCCAGACTAGTCATGTTGTAAAGGAAAACACAGACCAAAGCAAAACCAATAAAAAAGAAACTTAAAAAAGTATACTTGGATCTGCATTCAGACTTCATCAGGTCTTGCTCCGGAGGTGGGTCAGCATTTTTCATCGTAAGGCCTTCGGAGCTGTCTTGGAACATCGTATTGCTGAGAATAGCTAAGTCATTCACAGTTGATCATCGTACAATATTGCTGTTTCTATGTACGATGTTCTCCTGGCATCAGCATTCTGCAAACAAAACCTGTCTCCAAAGCCTGCCTATGGATAAACTCATGGGAAATGAGTGTGCCTACTTAGAGGCACGTGTCCAAAACCCACCACGCTTGCACTCTGCTTCCGGAAAACGAAATTTCATCTAGAAGAATCTGGTCCATTCATCACTCTCTACCAGGCCTTCAAAGGGACAAGGAGCTCACTCTGATCCTTCCACACAAACATCGGCCACGTCATCCTCTCTCTTGAGTCTCCTTTTCTGTAAGCACAAAGTGACAGAAATGAAGAAGGGGTCCAGATCCTCCAACCCAGGAAAGAGTGTGGTCCCAAGAAGAGATCGAAGAAAATGCCAATGTACAAAGAGACGCTGATGAGATGAAAGGTGCCCCAGAGAAGAGGGATTAGCCCACTCCATCAGCTGATGCACATGCCCACCTGTGGCACAGGAGACCCACAATGCTAGGCTCCTCCTGAGTTTGCAGTATTAGAAGCAGTCATTCAGCATTATCCTCACTTAGAGCATAATCTGTTATCTGACCAACTATGACATCATCCCCAAAAGCCAAATTGGATTCCTTTCTAGAAAATAAACCACAGACCACACCATTATTCTGCAGAGGCTCATTAAAGGAATAGGCTGAAAGCGCTGACAAGGGAAAGGTTTTTGTCAGATTTCGGGCTTTAAAAAAGCATTTAATTCAATCTGGCATCCCAGACTGAAACTAAATCTGCTGCATCGTGAAGTTGATGGGGAAATATATGAGACACTCCAGTCCAAGTATTTAATCGAAGTAAATCACAGCACCAATCCATTTACCCAGAAACAAAAATAACGTGCAACAGATGTCTACGGGCATGGAAGGGAAAGAACTGCCTATAGCATCTACTCTAGTCTCACTCCTTCCCCACCTCAACGTATACATCACTGAGCTGCCTCTTGCTGGAGGCAGCTCCCAAATTAAGCTGTACAGTAGTGTCTGCTTCGTCATTCATTTGGAGATGTCATCTGCTAAATCGCTCATCGCAAGGACCCGGTGCTATTCAAAATCAACTACAATGTCATCTCTGTGAATCAACCCTGAGAAGACCCATATCTTCACCACAAGGGAAGGAGAGCTCTCAAATACATCCTTGTCAGATTTCATTTTACCGACTTAGAAAAATAAGCCAGCATGCCAAAAACCGGCCCAATGTTGGCTCCACAGGGAGAGGTACAAAATGTCACTTAATCGAGTGTTCATTAAGTCTCCATTATGTTCTAGGTAATGAAGGAGAAACAAGATGAACAAGATATGGTCCCCGCCTTCAGAGAAGTCCTCAGGGTTTCCAATCCAGTGGGGATGAGACATGTCCGTGGATAAAATACAAGAGTTACGCTTTAAGTCTATCTGTGGGTATGTGTTGTATATAATGCAACTTTATATATGCCAAGTTTGTGAAATGATTAAGCACAAAGGCGACGGTGAGATCGTTACCAGCGGTGGAAATCTGGGAAGACGTCATGGAGGGAGTGGCAGTTTGCTAGAACC